TCAGGTGGGACAGGTCAAAAAGTTTAATAAAATATTGTCTTGGTCAGATTCTGATAGACATTTCAGGTAAATATATACTAGTTAAAAAACATACAGAACAAAAAAATCTAATGAACCCCTACCAACTCTCTTTAAAAATATCCATGTGGTGCTGGTACTTAGGAGGCATCTGGTTGTACCACGTTTAGTGATGTTAAAACAGATCAGTGGACTCAGCTGGAGTCAACCTGATTTAGCCAAAATAGTATCACTGAATGAGTTTAGCAACCACTGATGACCTCTGCTAAATTCCATTATTTTATAATAGCTTATAAAATCACGACTTTTCTAGTTCTATATTCTTTCTGCATTTACTAGTTGGATTTTTTGCGAAAAAGTAAGCTTTCATCAACTATTTATTTACTTCTATTCACATACAATGCAGAGAAAGAATAAATAATCTTTTACCTTCATTTCCTAATTTAATAATAACAAATGTGTGCTCTACTAACCTCCAAAGGTGATCAAGTTGCTTTCTTTGGGTTTTGGGGGATAGCATTATGAAATAGTAGATTACTAAAATATACTTGATGTGTTTCAATATATAGTCACAGTTCTTTTTCAGTTACCTCTTGGTCAGTGGGAGTTCTCTTTTATTTGGCTATGTTCTTTTGGTACAACTCCTATATTCCTTGATATCTTCTGGCTTTTTTGTAAGAAATAATATTCCATACCTAGAATCAGCCATTGCCTAAGGAGGCCTTCTTCCCTTCAGATGGATGGTATTTTAATGACTGCAGCCTGGGCACTATGGATATTTGTTGCTATTGACTTGCCATTGTTTTCTAGATCCTTTCAGTGGACAAACCATGGGGGAAAAATGTATTTTTTAAGAAAAAAAATGTAGAGGAGTTCTGGCCAGGATGGGTGTAAGTAGAAATGCTTCGTTTCCTTGCACAACCAAAAAAAAGGGTAACAACCATTTTAAAAATAATCATCAATCAGAACTGCCAAAAAATCAAACTGCATGGAACTCTGACAACCAAGAAGTTAAAGAAACATTCATCAAGACCAGTAGGAGGGGCAGAGACAGGCAGCCAGATGATAGGAGAGGACCAGCAGCAAGGCAGTGGACCGTGCAGGTGAAGAGAGACTGGTTGACCAGGAAACTAAAGACTCAAAACCACTAGCTGTAAAAAACTGTGGAAGTTAAGACCATGGGAAAAACCCCCAGTCTCACAGGAGAGTTCATTGGAAAGTGGTGCTAGAGCAGAGCAAGCAAGTGGCATTGTTCCCGCTCTAACCCTCCCCCGCAGACTCGCCACATCTCAGAATACAGGGTTGCTCCACCCTGGTGAATACCTAAGGCTCTGCAGCCCTTACAGCATAACAGGTGCGCCGAGACAAAGAAACATAGCACACATGAAAGAATAGAGCAAAACTCCAGAAAATAAGCTAAGACAACCTATCTCACGCAGAGTTGAAAACACTGGTAATCATGATGCCCACAGGACTGACTGAGGTCGGTCACAAAATGAAGGAACAAATGAAGGCTACACAAAGTGAAATAAAACAAAATATTCAGGGAACCAACAGTGAAAGAAAGGAAACTGGGACTCAAATCAATGATTTGAAACAAAAGGAAGAAATAAATATCCAACTGGAACAGAATGAAAAAACAAGAATTCAAAAAATGAGAGGCTTAGGAGCCTCTGGGACAACTTTAAGTGCCCCAACATCTAAATCATAGGGGTGCCAGGAGAAGAGGAAGGGTAAGAACCTGAAAACTCATGTGAACAAATACTGAAGGAAAACTTCCCCAACCTGATGAAGGAAACAGACTTCCAGGAAATGCAGGAAGCACAGAGAATCCCAAACAAGTTGGACCCAAGGAAGAACACACCAAGACACACCATCATTAAGTTAACCAAGATTAAAGATAAAAGCCCCTGGCTAGCGTAGCTCAGTGGATTGAGTGCGGGCCTGTGAACCAGAGTATCGCGGTTCAATTCCCAGTCAGGGCACATGCCTGGGTTGCAGGCCAGTTCCCAGTAGGGGATGCATGAGAGGCAACCATACATTGATATTTCTCTTCCACTCTTTCTCCTTCCCTTCCCCTCTCTTGAAAAATAAATAAATAAAATATTTTTAAAAAGATAAGAAGAGAATCTTAAAAGCAGCAAGAGAAAAGGAGACAGTTGCCTAAAAAGAAGTGCTCATAAGACTATCAGCTGATTTCTCAAAAGAAACCTTACAGGCAAGAAGGGGCTGGAAAGAAGTATTCCAAGTCATGAAAGGCAAGGACCTACAGCCAAGATTATTCTATCCAGCAAAGCTATCATTTAGAATACAAGGGCAGATAAAGTGCTTCCCAGATAAGGTCAAGTTAAGCGAGTGATCTTGATTATTAGCAAGCCCTTATTATATAAAATGTTAAACAGACTTATTTAAGAAATAAAAGATCAAAAACTATGAACAGTAAAATGACAAGAAACTCGTAACTATCAACTGAACTTAAACAACAAAAGAAAAACTAAGCAAACAACTAGAACAGGAACAGAATCACAGAAATGGAGATTATATGAAGGGTTATTAGTGGGGGAGGGGGGTGAGAATGGGGGGAAAGGGTACAAGGAATAAGAAGCATCATTAGTAGGCATAAAATAGTCAGCAGATTAAGAACAGTATAGGAGCCCTGGCTGGTGTAGCTCAGTGGATTGAGCGCGGGCCTGCGAACCACACGATCGAGGTTCCCACTCAGGGCACATGCCTGGGTTGCAGGCCCGTTCCCAGCAGGGGACACACAAAAGGCAACCATACATTGATGTTTCTCTCCCTCTCTCCTTCCCTTCCCCTCTAAAGATAAATAAATAAAATCTTAAAAAAAAAAGAATAGTATAGGAAATAGAGAAGCTTAAGAGCATATAATCACCCACAGACATGAACTAAGGGGTGGGGGAAGTGCTGGAGGGTTAGGAGTTGCAGGGAGGAGGAGGGATAAAGGGGAGAAAACAATTGGGACAACGGTAATAGCATTATCAATAAAATAAAAAAATATAATATACTTAAAATATAATATACTTAAAAAATATTATATACTTATAATATAAAATATAATATACTTAAAAAATAAAATATACTTAAAAAAATAAAAGGGATAGAAAGAAATCAATGGTACTATAAAAATACTCAGGGCAATAGAGAGGTTAACATATGATAAATACTTTAACTTCTGATGAATAACATATACACTTTCCTATTGGAAAAAAATTTAAATCATGAGCTCATATTGATTTTTCAATTTTAAATCAAATATTACCAAGTTTTTATTTAGATTCCTAAATTGTATAACTTCTTCTTAAGCTGAAAACTACAGTTCCTAGTAACACTGTCATTGACAATTTGTCTTATCCTACAATATATGAGTTTCAATACAACAATACCATTATTATTGCTAAAACTACTACTAAATGCAGATTACAATCTCTTTGTTGTTATTCTGCCTCTGAAATGTATCGCACAAGAGATGTACTGTCCAAATATAGGGTTTTTTAAATTACTTGAAACAACCCCTCTCCGTATGATTACATCACCACAGAGCCAGGTTCACTTGTTTCAGCATGCTTTTGCTTTTATTTTTTAAGATTTAATTTTTAAAACATTTATGTGGTTCGAAATTCAAAACTATAAAAACAAAGTACAATCAGGAGTCCTTCTCTCTCTACCCCATCCGTTCTCCTGTAAGTAACCAATTTCATTAGTTTTTAATTCATTGTCCCCTTCCATTATTTCTTTTTGAAAATATAAACATATATATGGAAAAAGTGACATTTTAAAGATCACAGTTTGGGCACTTTAGAAGCTATTTACCAGTTGGGTGATATTTCTGTGTGTGTCTCCAGAATTCCTTTCTTTCTACGAAACTAACATACTAACATATTACATATATATATATATATACACACACACACACACACACACACATATATATATACACACACACACACTCTCTTGTGTTCCACCTTCCATCTCTTTAAACAGTAAATCCTAAAATAACTCTGAAGTAGTATAAAGACATCTTCTTTACTAGTATATTCTTTATTAGTAAGCAAAAGGCTCATTATAGGGTGTTTCATTGTTTATTCAGCCAGACCCATACGGAAGGACTTTTGGGTTGTTCTGAGGGATTTGTTTTTACAGAGTGCTGTGAAAAATAAGTATGGGAAAGATTTATTTTTTATTTTGGGAACAGATTCCAGGAAGTGGAGATACTAAACCAAAGAACAAATGCAAATGTTATTTTGATGGAAATTATACCAATGTCCCTCCTCGCACCCTCAAATCATAAAAATCATGCAGAGAAAAAAGGACAGTAAGAAAATTTAGCAGTGTTTGGGGCACTTCAGTTCTAATTTTCAAACAAATACTTCACTCTGGTAAAAATTAGTTTCGAATTTTTACATTGATGTAAAAACAGCATAACACATTGCCACATAACTTTCATTTTCTGCACTGAAAACTATGGAAGAAACTTATTTAAAAAGAAAATAGCAGGTATAATAAAAATGGGGTGCAAGGTTAAAAGACAGGACCCTCTTTTCTGGCAGTTGTAGTTCTGAAGTTCAGTTTCTTTTTATGAGTGAGCCCTCAAGATATCCTAAAATATGATACAATCGACTCACTTTAAAGTAAATGGGTCCAAAAAGCCTTTATACCAAGTGTCTTTCCATTCCCATTCCAAATTCTGTATATTTAGCAAGGTCTGATACCTAAAGAAAACAAAGAAACCTTTGTTTCAATGCAAACCCCCTTTTAAGTGACTAACGTATTTTATATGTAATACAGGACTGGAGGGATGACAGAGCTGTGCCAAACACTCCATGCAGGCCTTTCAACCAGGACTTCCTGTTACCAACCAGCTCCAATGAAAATGATCTTTCTTCAATCTAAAGACTGGGCGGTTAACAGGCAGAACCGGATTCTCCAGGTGTGAAGTAAGCAATTTGTTCTTTCAGCAAAAAGACAATTTTATCTCTAACTTATTTGGTCTCATAATTTGGCTTTCAATTAACTTAACCATCTGAAAACCATACAGAAATTGCCTGTGAGCTATATGATAGAAACGTAAATATTTGATCAAAACATAACAGGTGATACCTAGTTTTTCTCTCAAAGGCAGGACTCCAACATCGCAGGTGGAAAAGCAACAAAAGGAACAAGACCAAAGGTAAATAAACCACTCTTTTCTGTGCTTTTTAATGTGAGATGTGGATAGCCTGAAATCTGTGGCATTTAAAATAGCTCTACAGATAATTAAAATTACTTGTTGTGTTCAGATTTAGACAGAACTACCGGCAGCTGGCCTGCTCATATACTACTATTGATAAATTGAAGAGGATTTGGGTTTAGATAACTCGGAAATAGACCACTATAATAAAAATCAACCTTTTAAGTTTTTTAAAAACTAGCTTCTCATTTTGGAAACACTGTAAGTCAGATACTATGAAAACAAACTTCAAATTCTTTCTTTTACAGACTGACTATAAATTAGTCATACTGTGCTTGCTTTTAGAAACACTTTTAATTAACACTGAGTTCTGAAAAGCTTATGCTGAATTGAAATATGCATAACTTTTAAAAACTTAAGATTAATTTTCTACAAGGTTTTAATTAATTTCTTCATTGTTGTTTCCCAGAGTAGTTTGAAATTGAGAAAATTAGAAAATAATATTGTAAGAGGACTACTGTAAAATATCAGAGTACTCACTTTTTAAATGTTTTAGCTAATCTATTAAAAGTATGTAACTATAAAATTTAATATAAATATATTTGACAGTTTTACATTAAGTCAGAATAATTTAAGTGCTATAATATATGCAGATCTGATGTTTTTTAAATTAAACAATATATAATTAACCAAAACATAGTTTATTTTCTTCAAAGTTATTTTATAATCGTTAGCATTCTAGAACTTAATAACCCACTTCAAATGAAAATAATAATGGCTTTTAATAAGTGTTTTAAGCATAGTTTTGGAAGTGGGCTCTATAATACCTACGACACAGTGTCTTCATGGCTATGCAGTTTTAAATGTAATATAAAAACCGTATTATATATGTATAGTTTATTTCCATCAGGCAAGTAAGAGTTCAAAATGACAGAAGTCTTAATATTTAAACAAAAAGGTCTTACTGTTATATTAAACAAGTCAGTTAATAATTAACTTATTTAAGCTAAATAAAAAGAATTAAAAAGGCCCTGAAAGACTGCATTACACAAAATGGCAAATAATTTAAACTTAGAGAAAATACATGCAACTTGTTCTTTTTTTGTTTTCCTCATTTCCTCATTTAAGTAACCGGAGATGAATATTCCTATAACATTAGCTCCTTTCACCTTGAACTAGGGGAATTCTGTAATCTGTCCTCATACAAAAGCAAAGAAAAAAAAAACACCAACTCATTTTATGTTAGATAAGATCAGGGTACATTTCTTGAAATATTTTATTTGATCAATACAATAGCCATAAAAAAATATTATCTTTAAAAATATAGGCTCTGGCAGAAGGCCTGCTTGAGTGTGGTTGGTAGGGTAGTAAATATGGATGTAATAATTCATAGTTGTAATACGAACATTTCACCGAAAATGTCACAAGGTATGCTTGAGTGTGACATTGTTGTTACAGAATTACCTGCCTATAATTTTGTAATAAAGGATTTTGTAATTAAAAAGGGGGGCACTATTTGTGCCAGACCTATATATAAATCTATAAAGTTTATATATCAGGGTACATTTCTTAAAGTACTAGGTAATTATATATTTCTCTCCCTGGGAATGTTCCTTGTCTGTATTAGGGTAGAGAACATTTTATTTGAATCATACAAGTTTACTTTTCTATTTCCCAGAACAAATGGTCTAAGTCAAACACCATGTTTATAAATTAGTGTTCTTTTTGCAAATATCAAGTTTAAGCTCAAAAATATAGTCAGTTATTGACAGAATTCAAAACTATTTAGCAATGAAGAAAAACATGCTGAACGATAATTCACGTTTAAGTAAAACTCTTCTGACATTAAGATAATAAATTTAAGGTGCAGAAAAGATTGTGTAAAATGGTAGTCTCATCAATTTCACCTAGCCTAAGCAATTAAATGGTTTTATAACTATGAGTTTAATATTTTATGTTCATGAACTTTGCCTCTTCCAACTTTTAAATTCTAACGTGCCTCAATGTCTCATTTTGCCTAATATTCTATTTTATAAAGATATGTGATTAAGCAACTAGATTGGAAATAGTTACATATCTAGTTATGAGTACACAACTACTAGAACATGCAGTTTGTACACTGCATGTAAGTGCACCTGAGTACCCACATTAAGACAATTTCTGCAGAGATGAAGATGAACTTGGGGAACATTTTGAATTGTTAACTCTATACAGATAACCACCTATGACCTTCAGTCAAGATGCACAGAACAGAAGTTCTTCCCTCTTCTACACATCATGATATGATCTGATATGATCTTGTGAAAAAAAGACCAATTGTAAAACTGCATCATTACATGTGATGAAAGAGTAAGTACCAAGTGACAGACATGAAGAGGGAACATACAAAGTACAGAGTAGGAATTAAAGGAACTCCGTGAGCTACCAAAAGCTGGGGTTTAGTATTTGTGCCTAATTAGGGGACTAAAACTGAGTTTCATAGATGAAGTAGTGAGTAGTGAACTAGGAAATATAGGACACAATCTATATACAGAGACAGTAAAATCTCTGTGGCTTCTCCAGGATTTTACATGAGGGATCCACTCTGACTATAAAAATCAGTAGAGAAAAATGAGGCCTATATTTATACTACCTGGGCTACAACAGGCAAACTCCATGGGGCCCTAGCAGTGACAACCACAAAAATGGTTTAAGAATATATCCAGAGTCCTGGAGGCATTGGTGCTCTGTGGTGTTGGAGGAATCTTGTTGCATGTCAGCCTGTGTGTACATGCACAGACATGGCTTCATGACTCTACCCAACAGGCCACACAAAGCTACTGGGACCTGCCCCACCCAGCCTGGGCAAGGCCATTCCCAGCAGAGCTATCAGTCCTGTGGACAGCATAGCTATAGTGGCTACAGCCAGTCAGGGGACAGTTCAGGCTATGGCTAGAACACCTACGGTTCTTCTGGACAGACCCAAAACGCAGGCTATGGCGCCAGTCAGCTCCCCACAGACACAGAGCAACTGGTGGCGACAGCTGTGGCTAGAATTCCCAGTCATCTTATGGGCTACGTCCTAACCTGGCTATGTCCCTCAGCCAGCTCCTAGCAGCACCCTGGGAAGCTCCAGTAGCAGTTCTCAGAGCAACACCTAGGGGCAGCCCCACAGTGGGGGTCATGGAAGCCGAGGGCGAAGAGGACCCATGGGCCTTGGAGGCAATGGAGATGGTGACAGTGGTGGTGGTGGCCAGCTGCCTAGCTATGGACAGCTCCTACAATCCTCCTCAGGGCTATGGACAACAGAACCAGTGCAGCAGTAGCAGTGGAGGTGGCAGAGGGGTGGTGGAGAGATCAATGGCCAACATCAGTCCCACATGAGTGGTGGCAGCTGTGGCTGAGGTTACGACGATCAGGACCAGAGTAGTGATGGTGGTGGTGGCTGCAGGGGAGGCCAGAAGGACCGTGGGGGATGAGGCCATGGAGGCAAAGGCAGTGGCAGTGCTGGTGAAAGCAACTGTGGTGGCTTTGAGAGATTTGGTAGTTCTCGGGACCAAGGATCACATCATGACTCTGAACAGGATAATTCAGACACCACCACCATCTTCATGCAAGGCCTGATGAGAATGTTGCGATTGAGTCTGTGGCTGATATGTTCAATTGGATTGGTATTATTAAGAGAAATAAGAAAACAAGGCAGCCCATGATTAATCTGTACATAGGGAAACAGGCAAGCTGCAGGGGGAGACACGGTGTCATCTGATGACCCACTTCTGCTAAAACAGCTGTTGACAGGTTTGATGATGGTGACGGTGGTGGTGGCCAGCAAGAATTCCCCAGTGGAGGTGGTGGCGGTGGAGGACAGCAGCGAGCTAGGGACTGGAAGTGTCCTAACCCTACAAGTGAGAACATGAAATCTCTTGGAAGAATGAATGCACCCAGTGTAAGACCCCTAAACCCGACAAACCTGGAGGGGAACCAGGAGGCTCTCATACAGGGGATAGCTACTGAGATGATCATCGTGATGGCCAAGGAGGCTATGATCGGGGAGGCTACTGAGGCCAAAGCAGGGGCCATGGGAGCTTCTGAGGAGGCCGAGGTAGTAGGGACAGAGGTGGGTTTGGCCCTGGCAAGGTGCACTCCAGGGGTGACCACAGATAGGACTGCAGGAAGAATCCATATTAACCTGCTTCCTGAGGTTCTGGGACAGCTTTTCTTCTATACCCAGTGTTATCCTCATTATTTTGTAACCTTCCAGCTCCTGATCACCCACATTTTTGTGTGTCAGACTGTAATTTAATAATTCCCATTAAAAACATCACTTTAGTTCAACATTCCTCCTCTAATTCCTCTTCGGAGGACTGATGTCCAGGTCAGGAACGTGGGGGTATTTTCCTCTGTTAGCTCATCCTGCCTAGCAGGGACTGGAATACAGTGTTGGGCACCTGGGGACGGGGCGCACATGTAACCACAATGCAGGGCGCTCCAGACATTCTCGTAGAAGACAATTTCCCACTGAAGGTAAAGGACTACCAAGGTTCACCAAATCATTTGCCCACCACTACCACCAAGAGAAACTGACAGTGGCCACAACAAAGATATTTCTCAGAAACCAAAATAACCTAATAATGTAAAGGATCTTTTAACATAAATACCCTTTAACTATTCAAAGGAAATAAATGAAGACATTGTATCCATAAACCAAGATGAACACACTATAAACTTTATGGTTAACTTCATGTAAACATCATTTACTTACTATATTATATATACCATGATATACAGCTCTGAAAGGAAATCTGTCTGTTTTGTAATACCAATAACATATAGAAATTTAAAAAAGATTTAGCATATTTACTCGTTTTTTTTCTAGTAAAGTTAATGAATACAAAACACATATCCAAATATTTTGAGCAGTTTCTTCAAGTACCTTTTATTCAAATATGAGTATGGTACTCCTTCAGGAAACTGTCCTTCCATGGACAGGAACCCAGGAAAAGACGAACTTCACAAGGGTCAGAGTCAAATATCTTGGTATCCAATGTCAGTGACAGTAACATTCAACTTTCCAAAAGTATTTTGCAAAGGTACACTGTGTAACAACAGAATTTGAAATATTCTATTTCTTAAAAAAAAAGTAGCTCTGGCTGGTGTGAATTGAGTGCCACCTGCAAATCAAAGGGTTGCCAGTCAGGACACTTGTATGGGTTGTGAGCCAGGTCCCCCAGTAGGGGACGCGCAAGAGGCAACCACACATTGATGATACTCTCCCTCTCTTTCTCCCTCTTCCCCTCTCTAAAAATAAATAAGTAAAATCCTTTTAAAAAAGTAAACTACAATGCTTTAGGAAAAAAGGCTTGTCACAGAATTGATCATTAATTTCTAATTTAAAAAAAAAAGACCTATCCAGCTATAAAACTGTTAGAGGGATTTGTTTTAGGATTTGTTCCAAGTCACACAACCAAAGAGAAGGTTGGAGACATTGTAGCTCTTGAAAAATTTAAAGGTTGTGCAATGCTTCTTAAAACATTAGATAAAACTTAGATAATTCTCACAAGTAAAAAGATCAAAATGTTTTGGTCCCCTCATTGCTCACCTGAGTCTCCAATACTGTTAACTCTGTTCTTCGTCCCATATTATCAGAAATATAAGTCCATTTAAAAAAATTAGTGCAACATGCCCTGGCTGGTGTAGCTCAGTGGATTGAGCGTGGGCCTGTGAACCAAAGTATCACGGTATGACTCCCAGTCAGGGCACATGCCTGGGTTGCAGGCCAGTTCCCAGCAGGGGATGCACGACAGGCAACCATACATTGGTATTTCTCTCCCTCTCCCCTTCCTTTCCCCTCTAAAAGATAAATAAATAAAATCTTTAAAAAAATAGTGCAACAAACAATGTATCTGCTATATACTTTGTGGCTGTAAGAATTCACAGTACAGGTTAGTATAGGAATAGAAAACAGAAATCTCTACAGATATAGAAATGAAGTATACCTCACTTCCTATCTTTATTATCTCAGCCTATGACTATGAGCTAAAGCAGAAGAAAACACAACAATCCCAATCTCTACATGATGTCAAGGATAAAATTCAAAATTTCTTAGAGACTTCCTGTGACACAGGTCTATAAAATTAGAACTAATCCCTTTTCTTCTCTGTAAAATGTTTAATTTGGTTTGATTAAAGATCCTTATAAAGCTTCGAACAACATACTTTATTTTAGACCTGATATACTGTGTTACCTCCTGCAAAAACTTTCTTCTTTTAAACAAAGTATTTATACTAATTACATAATACACTATTTGATACAGATCAACTTCATTTGCAGTGTGATTCACTAAGATAATCTATCACTAGGGATTAGGGGAAAAACACAAATCTGTATGAGGCAGATTTGTATCTGAATGTAGGCAGCTTTTTAGTTGTGTGGCTTCTAACAAGAAACTTGACCTTGCAGACACTAGGGAAACTAGAGTAGTTAAGAAAGTTAACATCCAAATAAGGGGAACTTCAAAGAAAAGTATGCGAAGAAAATGGAGAAGTTGAAGTTCTTTTAAAAATCAGGACCAACCCCCACCAAATCCTAAATATATGGATTTTCAGATTGAAAAGAGCTACTTACTGTCTAGCAAATACCGCAGAAGGACCTACCCCGGGTACGTTATTGTGAATTTTGGAACACCAGAAATAAAAAGAAAAAAGGCCAAGAGTTTCAGGAAAGAATTTTTTTTAAATGTATCAGGAATCAGATGGCAGACTTCTCAAGGACAACAAAGAAAGTTAGAAGAAAACACATCAAAATTTTCAAAATTATAAGGGAATATATAATTTCCAAGAAAGAATTATATCCACAAAAAATATATAATTCAGATGTAAGAACAGAATAAAAACATTTTCAGAAATAAAAGTTACACATTCACATTTTAAAAGGAAGCTATGGCATGCACCCAAATTAAATGATAAACCAGGAATAGATATTAGGAACCAGGAATCAGGAGAGATATCCAAGAAAGAAAAAAATCCCAACACAAGACCTGAAAATCAGGTCAAGCTAGAGCAGGGGAGTCAAACTCCTTTTCCACAGGGGCCACATCAGCCTCACAGGTGCCTTCAAAGGGCCAAATGTACTTTTAGGACCGTGTAAATGTAACTACTCCTTAACAGTTAAGCGAGAGCTTAAAACAAGGTGGAGGGCTGGATTTGGTCTGTGGGCCTTGTGTTTGCCACCTGTGAACTAGAAGGTTCCAGAAAAAAAGCCTCAGAAGTTGAAATAATAACATGAAAGAAAAAAAACAGAAAACCTATTATATTTACATATACTAAGATGACATTTTTAGGTCAATTTAAGAGTTTTAGATTGAATTAGTGATACACATGTATTAAACAACTGAAAAAATATATATCAAATAACTGAAAAACTTAGGTAATAATTTCAGAAAAAATTAACAAGTTAACTGGTTCTTGATCAGTGTGATGATTACAGTTTCCTTTATGAAAAATCATGAAATTATACATTTTGGTTTGGGCACTTTCTATATATACGTGAATAGGTCAATGAAAAGCTTTCTTAAAATAAATGTATTAAATTTTCTAGCTCCATCCATAGGCATGGCCTAGAAACAGTTTTGTTAAGAAAAACTTATTTGAGAAAGAAAGTAATATAGTACCTTATTTGACTCTGGTATATATATTTGTTTAGTCATACTAATGTTAACACGGACTATTGATTAACCAAAAATTAGGATATAACTATAGTGATAGGTAAAAATTAAGGGAAGGATGGGTGTGTTAAGAAAAAGTTAAATCCATATCTTTCATAACAAACAGTATAAATTTTAAATCTGAAAAAAGCAGAGAACACCTACCTAAGCAAATCACATAAGCTAAGGAGCTGACAATGACCTCCTTTGGGACTTGGGAGCTGAGAATGAGGTGTGGTGGGGCAGGCACGTGTTGGCTGTGTGTCTTTTATAAGCCTGGAGATTATCTGACTTTTAAAACTGTGCATATGTATTAACTTGAGGAAAATAAAAATCAGATTAAAAAAAGCCAATTTAAAACAGAAAAAGCTATGACTATATACAAAGTGATGTAATATCTTCAACACTTAATTGTACATTGTCCATCTCTCCTTACGTAGTAAATTATTTAGGACAGGTATTATTGAATATACTTGTATACTATAGCACTTAAAACTCTGCATATAATAAGCCTGAGTAATTATTTGACAAAATGTCAGCCCTTTAAAACCAAAGGAATATTATCAGGATACTGGTTTAACTTTTTATGCAATGCAGGCATCATTTTTACAACATCCTCAACTAGATCATCATTCAAGAACATCTCACTGACCATCTCCAGTGATGGCAAGCTTACTGACTCATGAAGCAGTTCATTCCATCTCGGAACAGCTCTACTTGTTTGAAGAGTCTTCTTTATACTAAATTAAAACTCTCTCCATGTAATTTCCACCCAGTGCCATTTGGAGTTATGCCAAGTAAGTCTAATTCCTTTTATATATCCAGACCTACACATTTTAGAAAACAGTTGTAGATATTCCCTATATTTCCATTTCTTTGAATAATTTCCATATACTATGTGTGATCTTCCAACCTACTTTTTCCCATGACAGTTTGGAAATTCCCAATTTATGAATTTTCATCTCAAAATATCAGTCAGAATTTAACACAGTCCCTCCCTCTCCCATTTGCTCGGACTAGCATGGAATGAATGGATCAAACATCTTTCTTAGTAAACGCAGGTATCACAGGTATTCAGGAGAGCACAAAGACTATTTTGATGGTTTTGACAGAAAGCTCATCATTAGCTTAAATCCCAGTAATTTTCATAAGCCCTGCTATGAATGCAAAGGCCTTCTATTTTGTAGATGTGAAGATGTTTTCTAAACCACTCTGTGAATATTTCATACCTACCCTGGTTAAACATATTTTTGTTACTTTTAGTATAGTATTCCATGGTATTTTAATCTTTAAATTCCAACTCTGTACTTCAACATAATAAATATCTCTCCAAATTTTGTACCATCAACATATTTGATAAGTAGGGCTTCATAACATCCAAATCACTGATAAAAACATTTGCAAAAATATATCAAAACCGAGTCACATAGCACAACAGCATAAGGAGACCTTTTTCTCTGATATTGATGTTGTATGTGTTTCAATTAGCTATTTGTAGTTCCTTTAAGAACTTCTTAGCTGCCAAAAAATCAAGAAAGGCATGTTTAAATGCCTTTCTAAATTCAAGATATTCTGTGAAAATTAAGTATTTTATTAACAACATTGCTTTTTATTCACTTTGTTACATATACAATGAAATATAGTATTATATATAAATCATGCACATCAACTTGATCCTTTAGATAACTATCATCATAAGGTGTGATAAATGTCAATATTATCAGTGCCCCCAAAATAATATTTTACATTAATATATTCTTATGTTTGTAAAAACATCACTTAATATAAATTTCATTCTAAAATAGTCTGGATATTTTTGCAAAGGAATGCTAAGAATGAGAAATCAGTTTAATCAGACCAAGAATATGTTTTCAGACATATGCAATGCTTAAGAAAACAAAACTATGTCAAATAATGTTAATCAATCCAAAGCCTCAGAAATTTTAAGATAAATCAACATAATCTCTACTGCGTAAACCTCTCATAGGAAATCTTCCCTGCCTCTATACTGGTTGTAACTAAATTATGCATATGTAGCACAATGAGTATATTTTTAACATTATATCGACCAAATTAACCAGGAATAGTATATTTAGCAATAAAGGCACTTTCAGGGAATCCTTTTAATTTTAAAAGCTAAAGATATGGTCAAGTCAAATCTTCCATTTTAAGATATATCTTTCTTTTTTTTTTTTTGACTTTTTATTTTTTATTTATTTTTATTTTTTTTATTGATTATGCCATTACATTTGCTCTATTCCCCCCTCCTTTCCCCTCCACCTTGCATACCCCTTCCCCACCATTTCCCCCTTTAGTTCATGAACATGTGTCTCAAATTCTTTAGATTCTGTATTTCCCCCTACTATTCTTACCCTCCCCCCTATCTATTTTCTATCTACTGTCTATACTACTTATTTTCTGTACCTTCTCCCCCCTTCCCCTCCTCCCACTCCCCCTGTTGCTAACCCTCCATGAAATCTTCATTTCTATGGTTCTGCTCCTGATCTAGCTATCCTCTTAGTTTGCTTTTGTTTTAGGTGTGGTTCTTAATAACTGTGAGTTTGCTGTCCTTTCACTGTTCATCTTTTTTATCTTCTTTTTCTTAGGTAAGTCCCTTTAACATTTCATATAGTAGGGGCTTGGTGATGATGAACTCCTTGAATTTGGTCTTATCTGAGAAGCACTTTATCTGTCCTTCCATTCTAAATGAAAGTTTTGCTGGGTAGAGCAATCTTGGTTGTAGATCTTTGGTTTTCATGACTTGGAATACCTCTGCCCAGCCCCTTCTTGCCTGTAAGGTCTCTTTTGAGAAATCAGCTGACAGTCTGATGGGAACTCCTTTGTAGGTGACTGTCCCCTTAGCTCTTGCTGCTTCTAGGATTCTCTCCTTCATTTTAATCTTGGCTAATGTAATTATGATGTGCCTTGGTGTGTTCCTTCTTGGGTCCAACTTCTTTGGTACTCTCTGAGCTTCCTGGGTTTCTCGGAAGTCTATTTCCTTTGCCATCTTGGGGAAATTCTCCTTTATTATTTGTTCAAATAATTTTTCAACTGGTGGTTGTGCCTTTCCCCCTTCTGGTACCCCTATAATTCGGATGTTGGAACGTTTAAAGATGTCCTGGAGATTCCTAAGCTTCTCCTCATTTTTCTGAATTCTTATTTCTTCATTCCTTTCTGTTTGGTCATTTTTTTCTTCCGTCTGGTTCTCTCCCTTGATTTGAATCCCAATTTTCTTTCCATTACTATTGGTATCTTTTGTATCAGCATTCATTTCAATTAATTTAGCTTCCATATGTTTCTCTAATTTGTGACTAAAATCCACCAGTTCTGTAAGGATCTTTATAACCAGTGTTTTGAACTGTGTATCTGAAAGACTGGCTATTTCTTCATCACTTAGGTCTATCGGTTCTGGGGCTCTGAGTTGTCCTAGAGCCACTTTTGGTCTATTCGCGTTGTTAAGTGAGCCCAGCGAAGCCTTAGTTGTTTACCAGGACGGGGCGACCCAGGTCGCTGGTTTGTGATGCTGTGTGTGGGGGCGGGGTCAGAGAGGGAGCAATGGCGTTCCTCTCCGCTAGCCCAGCGCAACCAGTCACTCAAACGCCTCGGGCTTGCTTATCCGATCCTAATTTTGCGAGCCTGTTGCACCGCGCGGGTTTCCCTTCTCACTGGTTTCTCCGCACCTAAATGCCTGCGACCGACCCGCCGCGCCTCTTCCCTGTGCGCTCCGGCAGCCAGCTGTCTGGCGATCAGTGCCCTCGGTTGCCTGCCTGCGCACCGCCCCGGGAATTTTTTCTTGCTAACCTGCTCTGCTGCTGGCCTCGCTCCTCGTATGGGTCCAGCCGAGTATCTAGTTGTCCTTTGGACTCCGTATTGTCGATTTTCCGTGTGGCTTGGTTGTGACTGCTGTTAAAAATAGTTGTTCTTAGATTTGGTTGTGCACAGAGGTGAGGTGGAACCTCCACCTACTTCTCCATCTTGGCGGAAGTCAAGATATATCTTTCTATATCAAAAAATCTGTTATCATGTGGCAGTTTCATGACACAAAACATTATTTGGGGGCAATTGTATCTCAATCACTGCTTTCTCAGTACTTCACTCAACTGCATGGAACTCACGGTAATCCTGATACAGGGTGCAGCCAGGGCCCCCCCCCCAAAAAAAGATTTGGAATGGTGTCCAGAATTCAAAGTGTATAGGAATAATGGAGAGACATATAAGATGTCCTCACCCCTTCCCCCCCACAGGTGTGAGTTGGGGGGAAGGGACACATGGAGCAGGAACATGCAGGGCTGTTTCATACAGCCACAGCCTTGCAGCTAATCCATGGCATTGTCTTTTAACATTGTCTTTTAACACATCTATAGCCTTTGGCGGTCACTTGGATATGTGAAATGGCTGTGGCCAGGCTTGGAGCCAGGGGGATGAAGTCACTTCCCCCAAGATGTAACTGGGGGCAGGTCCCCCAAGTTACAGCGCCTTCGTTGGAGCTTGGAGAAGATTGGCTCTAGGACATGGGATGATTACTGCCCAGACTAACGATGGCAGCCCAGTAAACTTGTATTAATACAGAAATACTGGCAGGTGTAACTGATCTTGGGAGGAGTAGGAAATAGGGGTACAGAGGAAGATGGGTGCGAGGATTTAAAAGCCAGACACAGCAGCCATTGGGGGAGAGAGCCACGCGGTTTCAGCAGAGTGAGGACCCTCTCTTGGTGAGGTGAAAGAGGGAGCCACGTGGTTTTGGCAGGGTGCGGACCCCCTCTTTCCCAGGTGAAAGGGAAAAATCACACAGCTTTGCCAGAATGGAGATCCCTGCAGCCAGGTGAAGAAGAAAGCCACATGCTTTTGGTGGAGTGCGGACCCCTGCAGCTTTGGTAGAAGAGGCCCACGTGGCTTTGGGGTGCCCCCTTTGTCTGCGGGGCCTGGAAAGCAAGGGAGACTTTGACTGGAACTGGGTACAAAGGACTCTTGCCAGTGGACCATGAGAGGGTACCACAGTACTTTGGATTAACTCAAGATCCTGTCTGTATGGCGACACAGCTGACGGTACCAGCGGCCTGCAACACAGATGTGTGCTCTTTTCCTGATTTACGGTACCCGGAGTTGGGACAGTGGGAGAAGGGAGAGCTGTGCGGGTGTAGGTGTATACCCTAAAGGACTTTGCTATTTTAGTGGAGGCGTTAGGCCTGAATAGCATTAAATAAACATTTTGTTTCCTTTTCACAAATCTCTGGCATTGAGAGATGTCTTTCCAATTGGCGGCGGACAGAAGAGCCCAGTAGATATTAGTATTTTGTCCTTGGGAGGGGCCCCTGTTGTATAGCAGTTTTGGGCATCCCTAGGTGGGCCGAATATTGTATTGCCCCTCCCTCGGACCTCTTGTTCGGTAACAGTCCCACATCATGCAGAGCAAGTTACAAATTATTATACATTACTTTTTCTGTTGTACTGGTGTTTATGAAAAAATTCTTATTGATTTTTCTAATTTGTTAACTTCTTTCCAGAAAAGTAGGAGGATTTCCCCTAGGAGGTAAGTATAGCTTTGTGAGGCCATCTACCCCAGGGGAAAATACTAAACTTTTCTTTGTTCAACACAACCATTTTTCCTTTTTAGGAGAAAAGGGAAGATGAAGGACCGACTTCAAGAACTAAAACAACGAACGAAAGAACTCGAACTCTCTAGAGACAGGCATGTGCCAACTACAGAAGCGGAGGAACAAGGAATGTTTCTGCAGCAAGCTGTTATTTATGAAAGAGAGCCTGTAGCAGAGAGACATCTACATGAGATCCAGAAACTACAGGAGAGCCTTAACAATTTGACAGATGGTGTTCAAAAATTTGGGCAGCAACAGAAAAGTCTGGTGGCTTCAATGAGAAGGTTTAGTCTACTTAAGAAAGAGTCTAGCATTACAAAGGAGATAAAAACCCAAGCAGAACACATAATGAAAGGTTTGGATAATTTAGTAAAAGAAGCAAAAAAATCAGAGGTTGAAAACGGTCCGTCATCAGTGGTCACAAGGATACTTAAATCTCAGCATGCTGCAATGTTCCGCCATTTTCAGCAAACTATGTTTATATACAATGACACAATAGCAGCAAAGCAAGAAAAGTGCAAGACGTTTATTTTCCGTCAGCTTGAAGTTGCTGGAAAAGATGTACCTGAAGAAGAAGTAAATGATATGCTTCAGCAAGGAAAATGGGAAGTGTTTAATGAAAATGTGCTTACAGAAATCAATATCACTAAAGCACAACTTTCAGAGATAGAACAGAGACACAAGGAGCTTGTTAATTTGGAAAATCAAATAAAGGATTTAAGGGAGCTTTTCATTCAGATATCTCTTTTAGTAGAGGAACAAGGAGAAAGCATCAACAATATTGAAATGATAGTGAATGGAACAAAAGAGTATGTTAACACTACTAAGGAGAAATTCGGACTAGCTGTAAAATACAAAAAAAGAAATCCTTGCAAGGTACTGTGCTGTTGGTGTTGTCCATGCTGTGGCTCAAAATAAAGAAGCTATTTTAGAAATGTTTCCAGTTGTAGAATGATGTCTCACATTTTAGTATATTGTTTTTCTTCCTTTCACAGATTAATTCACATACCTTTCACCACTATTAAGTTAAAATTTCCCCCTTTAGCCCTCACCCACTAGAATTACATAAACTTCTAAAGTCAGTGACATGAAATGTCTTCATTTCCTGAACTAAAAACAGTATACTTAGCTGTTGAAAATGAGATGAATGATCTCATCAGGTATCAAGCTCTATTACACATTTTTGTAATCTCCAAAGCCTTTAGAAGATGAATGTCAACAAGTGACAACTACTTAACAATCCTTTGGTTCATTTGATAATATTTTCGTAGTTAAAATATATGTAAAGCAAGACCTCAAAGGATGCTATATTCAAGCAAAATTAAACCGGAAGCTGTATCAAATCTTTTATGCTCAATATGTCAGATAATTCAGTATTCAACAAATACTGATAAAATCAATTATGTACTTAATGAAGAGTCTAGTTGGTAACCAGAAGCTGAATCTAATTTAAGGCCTAAGAAGGTAATTTAAGGCCTAAGAAGGTGATTTAAGGCACTGTTTTCCAGAACTGGGTCCATTAAGGACACTGTATTACATACAGATCAAGAGGGTTGGGAAATAAAGTGAAAAATAAAGGTAACTGTATTCTCCAAAATTTCTCCATCACTTTTTTTCTAAAGCCAGATGTTATGGGCTAGGGATATAGTTTAAACTCACAAAGTGATAGAAGTTGTAACTCCTATTCTAGTGGAAAAAACAGATAACAAATAAATACAAATATTGGATCATGTTAAGTTCCTAATAGACTCAAAATAAGGATATAATGAGACAGACTATCAGGGTAGCTTCTTTTGGTTGGGTAGTCAGTGAAGGCCTCTCTCAAAGGCAATATTAAGTGAAAATCTAAATGATGAGGACAAGGAATGCTATATTCCAGTCATAGGATACAAACAGCAGAAAGACCCTGTGGAAAGTATAATTTACTCTGTCCAAAGAAAAATGAATAGTACAGCTGTATCATAGTGGCAAAAGAACAGTGAGAGACAAGATGAAGTTACGAAAGGTCAACAGGGGCTATAGTTAAAACTTTGTGAACTATTTAAGTCTGAAATTTACATCAAGTATAATCAAGGAAGAGCCCCCAAACTAATTTTGGCCTGGGAATAATGTTATATAATTTATATTTGAGGAAAACCATTCTGTCTAGTGGATGGATTCAGGGCACATGAGTGAAGACAAGCACACAATCAGAAGGTTAATGAAGTCGTGTCTGTAAGAGATAACGGAGGCAAGGACTAGAACGGGAACAGAGGAGGTGAGAGTGGCAGCAGCAGTACTCATACTCAAGATTAATGAAGTACTTGCTATATGCCAGCACTGTTCTAATAATTTCACAAGTTTACCAACAAGAACACTGAGATACACAAAAAGGCTAAGTAAACTATCCCAGGTCACAGAAACTACATCTAGAGAGTCAGGATTTGAACCCAGGGGGTATGATTTCAAAATTAGTTACTGACTACTATAGTTAGAAGTAGTTGCTCTATATTATACAGTGGTGATAAAAATAATTAAACTAACTTGTGATAGACTTAAGAGGTAGAAACTACAGGATACTGATGTCATTTACAAGATGGAAAAAGAAAGAAGTGAAGGTTTGACTAAGAGAATCTGTGATGATAATAAAAAGTCCAAGTGAAGATTTAGAAGATATTAGTTATATCAGTAGGAGCTCTTGGGAGGTAACACGGCAGCTGAAAGTATAAATCTGGGTCATTTGAGTAAATGGTATTTTAGGTAACGTGACTTGAGGATGAAGTCACCTAAAGAGCGTGTGTGTGTGTGTGTGTGTGTGTGTATGACTGGAAGTTCAAAAAAGAGCCTGGACTATTCCAAAATTTATATTTCAAGCAGAAAAAGGAGTTAGTAAAGGAGACTTTAGAAGAAACCAATAATGAAGTAAGAGGAAAATAATAAAATGTACTGCAAATACTGCAAAATACAAGAGAAGAATGTTTAAGAAAAACAAAGTTGAGGAAATTGTCAATTTGAGGTAAAGAAAGAATGGCAAAGTGACAATGGAGTTGGGAACATGGAGATGATTTACTGATTCCAACAAGAACAGTCTCAAGGAACTGAATGCATGAAGTCGCAGGTGGAGTATACTGAGGAAAGTAGGCAACATAAAGAATGACAACAGCCACTACAGACAATTCTTTCCAGAAGTCTGAATGCACTATAAAAAGGAGTCAAGAGCTAGAGAGGGATGTGGAGTCAAAGGACTCTGTAATAAAGTTAAAACACATAAGAGCACATTCGGTTAATGGGAATAATCCAGAGAGAGAAACTCTTGATACAAGAAAGGGGAGGGATAAGTAGCCGAAGTAGAAAGGGCTGGGATCTGGAGCACAAATGTAGAAGCTGCCCTGGAAAGCAGCAGAAACAAATCTTCCATATTATAGGGAGAAAGGTGAAGTTTAGAATAAAAGCACATAGTTCATCAAATTTGGTGGTGAGAAAATGGGAACTCATGGGACAGTTTCTATTTCCTCAAGGAAGTATGAGGCAAAATGATTAACTGAAAGCACAATGGGAGTAAGGGAGAACAGAAATGTATATACAACTACCTCCTAACACTATTAAATAGTCTTAATTTACAAAATATAAAGAAATTGGAGAGCCTTCCACTGTGTCAGTTACCAAGCATTACTGAAGAAAAACATGTATCACACATGCCAGCTTCAAATGTTTAAGGAACATTATGAAAAAAATAAACTGAAAACTGATGATTAAACTCTCAAGCTAATCAGGTGGCAACAGACATATTTGTTCTCTCCCTTCTAAATTGTGCTGTATCTTTTTTACCCAGTGCCTTATTGGTACTTGTTTACAATTATTACTAAACGGTTTACCATGAACACAGAGAATATCAAGTACTACATAATACTCATTGGCATAATTATATCCAGATAGATCTGTAAAATAATAATTTTTATGAGCATTTATATCAATGCATAGCACTTTTAAAGCAAGGCTTCAGCACAGAAACTGTCACAGCAACGTACTACATACAACTTTGTTATATTGTAAAACCACAGTATCACCCTAACCTACGGAACAATAGCAGTATTTTTAACAATTAGTTGCTGAATATTTTGTATATTTTATTCACACACTTAATAGACACTACTAGTAATTTTTTCCTTAAAATAACTACCTTAATTGAAAAAAATCTTAATGGAGGCACAATATCAGTAACCTGTTGGCTCTAAAAGTACGAATATTAAAAATAAAAGTAATAGGAGTACTTGTGCTCATATTCTTACCCACTAAACTTACATTATTTTCTGTAATCAAAAGCTTCATGTAAATTCATATGATGAGATACTTTGAAATCGAATCTCCTAACTCATCTCCATCTAGACACAATACATTATTAATTAATTACTCAGACCACCATCACATTTATCGAATCCCAGTAAAGCACTGCACTAGATGCTTTCAACACATTATCTGGAATCCACGTAACAACACAGGCATAAAACCTTATTTACAAATGGAGACAAAGAAGCTCAGAAAGATTAAGTAAACTATCCAAGGACTGAGTCCAAAGCCCACTTTCCCCTTCCTTACCAGTACCATTCAATTTCTGCTGTGCATCAGAATGATCTGGAAGAACCTGTGGTGGGGGGGGGGCGGAAACAGTCCTGGCCCTACCACCTAGCATTTAAGCTGATGCTCATGCTGGTGTTCCCTAGACAACACCTTGCTGCTTAACAACACTGCCAATGGGTTTTTCTTTGTTATTTTGTCTTTAAATAGAGTGTGTTAGGGTGTGGGAGGGGAAGGATGGAAACCTCTTCAGGCTGCCTGTACGTAAATCACCAAGGAAATCAACCAGCTGAGAAACTTCAGTGTAAACCAGAGCTGCTATTAGAGAAGCTGGATACCCGTAGAGACAAAGGAAGCCCCCGCAAGGAAATCTGGAGGTAAGCGAACAACTAAATGAGGTTTATGACGATGACATCTTGGTAAAGTTCCACTGAAGGAAAGAAATCTTAAGCCAATGGAGCCTATAAATACAGTGAGTAGAGATTTCAGATGGTAAAAATAGTAAAATTAATAGTAAAATGCTTAGATGTAACTCACCGCTACATCTAAGTACCAAGTGACATAGGTATAATCCATACGTCTAAGTTCCTAGAACTCTAAAAAGGACCCACGCTCTTCTATTTATTACTTAAAAATCTTACTTAGTAAAAGTACATTTGACTAAAATTCTAATGAGTATTAGGAAAGTTGTAACCTATTAACTTCTCCTGGGTACACAGAATAAAGAGTATGATTGAAAAATACCTGCAAACTAACATCTGCCTGTAATATTATCTAGAAGGCAGGTAGGTAAGTCAAGGAGGCATATAAAGGTCAGAGACAAAAATCCCACATTGAAAAAGTAATGATAAAAGCTTAGTTATTGTTTCTTATAATATGGAAACTTACTGTCATGGTTTTTATCATTTTTTGTTCATGAAATCCTTTCAGCATTTGATGAGAGTGACAATCTGCTCCCAAGAAAAATGCACCTACACGCAGAACTGTGTATGTGATTTCCTAGGGTCCTGGGGGGTCACCTCTGGTGCAAAACCTCCAGATCAGAAGACTCTTTTTTAGTTTTTGGCACTGTGTCATCCATCTGCTTCTGAAACAAGGACCCAGGCTCCTCTGACATTTCTTGAATGAGAAACGAGGAATATTAATGGATTTCCACATTTTAAATGTGGAAAAAAATAAAGCCTTTTTTATTGAAATATTTGTAATATCTAGTAAGATCTTATCAGAGGAATTGTTTCTTCCCTTAGTGAAACTCCTCTACATTTATCACTTTTGTTTTGAAGCATCCAATTTGTGAGATTTGGCCAAAAGTTAAGTAAGGTCATAGAACGCCACAGAAAAGCAAGCACCGTTCCAAGAGTTCAAGTGTGCTAATGCAAAGTAGAATTGTTATCACCCTGGGAGAGAAAGTTAGCCTGTGGATCTCCAGAGTTATT